TCTTCTGGTCACCTGAAGGCTCTCTGTTTCTTCACAGCCTGGAAATCATCTCAACACACAGTTGAAAAATTTTTAAATTACTTTTCTAGTATCCATAGTTCAGAAAAAACATTTGCTGTTAGAAGCTATACCCAAAGATTCTATCAGCAGGCCCGTTCAGACTCATGTTTCGGAATTCCCATCTGGTTGGGCTGCCACAGCCACCTCCTCTCCTGGCCAGCTCCTTCCTCCATGGCCTGAAAAATCCAGCCCTGTGTCTCAGCAAGAAGCCCTTGCTGCGTCCAGGACCCACGGTCTCACTGCTGCACGTCCCAGAGGCTGGAAGAGCGGCTGCTGTGCGCAGTTCGGGGAGGGATGCTGGCACACCAGCCGCGGCACAGGCCAGCCTGGAGGGCAGGAAGGACAGGGCTGTGGCCTGAGCTCTGCAGCCCAGCCTCCCTGTCCACCAGGGCGTGTGGCAGGCCCGTCACCTAACCGTCGTGGACCTTATGTCCCTCATCTGTAAACGGACAGGGTAAGACCGATGACTGGGACCCCTGGCAAACCTGGGGGGAAATGCACAGAGTACAGTGTGATTCCTTCGGAATGATCCATGAGATTCACGCTGATCCCCTATGACTGCGTTTCTCTCTCTTGGGATATAAGAATAAAAGGCTGACAAGAAGTAGCTGTTGCTGAGACAGGACACGAAGTGCGAACCACTGTGCCTCGGTCCTTCTCAGTCCACGTCACACTGCTTGCTCCTGGCCTGACACCTGGGCCACCACGTCCAGCACAGGCAGCACCCGTGTCCCCGCGGGCACAGGAGAGCGGGAGGACCTCGTTTACACCGGTTTCTGGGTCCGGTCCTGCTTCAGGGCAGTACTTACAGATGCTACAGGGGTAGGAAGCAGTTACTAATGACAGGTAAATAAAATAAAGCAATTGTTTTAAAGGTCGCCCATTTGGAGACAAAAAGAAGTACAAGGGGAAAAATGCATCCATTTAGAATCAGAATAATCACACCTGGGCTCCTCCTGCTGTCCCGACAGGAAAAACTAAACCCAGACAACAGGATGGGCCAAACGCCCCCCACTGCCCCCAGCTGTGCCCCTGCACTGCCGCCTCCTCCCCCCACACACGCTGTCAGGCAGGGCATCTCACTGTCAGAAAGTGAGGAGCAGAGAAACTTACTAACACTCTGTATCTGCCCTCAGCGCTAATAACAGGCTGTTACGCAAGATCAGCTTGCTGGGGGCGGGGGCGGGGGCGGGTAGCCCTCAACACCCAAAACAATGCTTTGCACGTTGGCTTTTATGTGGCGATTCACTACCAGCTTGGGTAATAAACCCCAGTAACACCACGTGAACAAACGCAGAGGAGCACCGGTCAGGGGCAACACAGAGGGCCTGACTGTCTTTTTCAAGTTCACGCCCAGGCGCTCAACTCCACCGCGCCGCCCGGCGGGCCGGCTCTGCGCGCTGCAGGGTGCGGTGCTCGCTGGGCCAGGAGCCCGCGGCTGCAGCGGGCCCGCAAGGACCCAGCGCCTGTGTTTCAGACAGCAATCTCTGTTTCCAGGTGGTTTTGTCCACTCCTTAGAGGAATGGCCCAGGTAGGTTCAGTCCAAAAAGAGAAACCAAACCACCACCCACCCGAAAGAAAAAAAAAAAAAAGAGAGAGAAATCAATCCAGGTGTTTCAAACAGAGGCAGCTCAGCACAGGATTCAACTGCACAAATGATGCAAGAGAAGAGACGCCACACAGGGGAGGGGGGCAGACATCCCCCAGGAGGGCCCCTCTCTTGGGCGAGAGCAGGTGCCTCCCGGCAGGAGTTGGGACCAAGGCGGACAACTCTGCAGGAGCGAGGACCTGGAGAGAGGTGCTGAGAGGCTGCTTGCGGTGGGGGAGGGGGCGGAATCACACCCCCTGCCTCCTGACTCCACTCCAGTGTCCACGGTCAGAAACCAGACTTTAGGACACTGAGCAGGGGAGACCAGGGTAGGGCATGGAGCTGAGAGAAAACAGACAACTGACTTTAGCGCTGAGCCAATAAAATCTGAGGGTGGCCCCTCAGCCGAGGACCTACAGAGCATCAGAGGCCAGGTGAACTCGGAAACCGGGGTGCTAAGGACACGTGAATCCCGCAAATCTGTTCTGCCTGTAGTTTTCTGCCTGGGCATGCCCACCTGCCTTTTGTGCATCTTTCTCTGGTTACTGTGGAGACAGCCTCGCTAGATTGCTAGGTTTCATTAAACGGGTACAATTTGCAAAGAAAAGCATGACTTGGCTGCCATGGACCCCTGAGCCAAGCGGGCTGAGCTGACCAGAGAAGCCGCCGGCTGCACGGCGTGGCCTGGCTTTGGGACAACTCATGGGAGGAAAGGAGTCCGGGAGACGGCGACCATCGGCACTGATCCCGGACTTTCAGCACTGGACAGAGAGCCGCTGCCCTGGGGTCGGGGGCGGACACCCTGAATACCCGGTCCCACCACGCCAACAGGGGATGGCTTCATTCCAGCTGTCAGTAATGTGAGCAGGTGACTGAGGGTTAAGAGGAGCTGTTTCTAAATAACACCTTGTACTAGGAGTTGAACCTTCACAGGGATCACTGAGAAAAAGTCAGCAAACAATGAAGCAGTCATCATTGCAACAGTCAGATCCAACCAGCGAGAAGGGAGCACACAGAGGAGACCCGCGTGCTGACCTGGGAAACGAGTTTGGGAAGGTCTAAGGAAAACGCGCTCACACACGTGAGCAATGACTCACAATAAAAATAAGGAAGAGCTTCGCAGCAGAAAGACACCAGCAACTCAGGAGCGAGCTGAGACCGCCACGTGAGAATTCACAGCAGAACCGATCAGACAGATCCGGCAGATGCCCCGCTGAGGCCAGAAATACACCAGAGACCCGGGACACAGAGGAGGTTCTCAGAGAAAAGCACCAAATAAGCTGAGAGGCACAGCACGCTGCCTGTTAGCAATCCCACACAGCTGCCCAGCAAAACCTTCGCTTCTCTCTGACCCAGGGTCGCCACCCGGGTCAGCTACTGGAACTGTGGGCCAGGACGGGGCAGGCGTGTGTGAACGGGGTGCACCTGTGAGTGGAGCTGTGTTTAATAAAGTCTTCTGACATGTGGACTTGCTGCCCATCAGTCACTCACGGTGAAGCACTTCTCCCTGGGATCGCGCGTTTCTAAAAATACCATTTGCTTTTTATTTAACCCTGAGCCCTTTGGTGTTCTAGAATGCAAAAATAGTGCCTTATTATTTCAAAAGCTTAAGAGAGAAACTAGCTGTATTATTATTAGAAGATATATGCAGCTACAGTCTGTTCAAATATCAAGAGGTGTGACTTTCCACATTCACATTTCAATCTTTATTTACATAAGACTTTTAGAAATAGTGGGTGTAAATATTAAATCACCCAAGCCTGGGTGAAATTTTGTTGAGAATAAGTCCAAACAAAGGGAAACTGATTTTTTAAAGTCAGTTTCTGAAATTTAGATGAAAAGAACATTATGCATTAACAAAAAAAAATGATGTATTTACACATCAATATAGGTTTCCTGCGTGCAGATTCATTTCCTACAAAACATACAGAGGCAAGCTTGGGGAATTACAAAGGAAGGAAAACCCTAATCGAACAGGTGCGGTTGTTCAAACAGAATATTGGCTTAAATGATCCAATCAGTTGCTTGAGCCCCAAATTTTTTTCTTTAAGCCATTCATGCCAGAGCGCAGCCTCTCAGAGCATTAAGAACCCATATTACATCCCAAGTGTCTGCCCGGCAGGTGGGGGATCTGAAGACACGGTCCACGAAGAGTGACGAGGATAAGGCAGGCTCCTAGTCAGTCACCAGCACTGACACAGTTTACCCACGATGGGGTCACGCTTCTCAAGGTAAGCACTGCTTATCCAAGATCCAGGGAACGCTGGGCAACTATACGAATCAACTGAGATACAGCAAGTTCACGCTGCGGGACCCTTGATTTCACCAGTGCTCAGGATCGCGCTGCAGGAGGCAACGTGACCTGTAGAAACCTTCCTGAAGACTGGGCACAAAAAGAAAAGCACATTTTCATGGGGTGGGTCTGCCAACAAGCTCTGCTTTCATATTTGTCTAAGGACTTCAGATGATCAGAGGTTCACACGAGGGATAACTGACAACAGTTCTAGGTCTTGGTTTAAAACAAAATCATGGCCTCTCACTGTAAAACAGCCACCTGCAATGTGTCAGGTGAATCTCTAATTTACTGACTCAATCTTTTGCTTATCAAAAACAGCAATGTGCTTCTCAAAATCTTCAGGGGGCAATCCTAGAAACACAGTTGCACAAGCACGCACGTGTGTGCACACGCACACACACACGCAGACACTCCTGGTTTCTACGTGGAAATTAAACACAACTCTATTTTATTGCACTATTAAGACTGCAAATTTAAAATTAACAAAAAAAATAACAGAGGTTTCAAAGACATAGTAACCTGTTCTCAGAACAAGTTCAAAATTAGTCACAAAGGCATCAAGAGACCACTGCATCAGAGACTGAACCTCTGACCCTGGCAGTGTTAAGCCCTCCCTTTCCTTTGAATTAGTGGTGTCAATACTGTGTTGCTCTTTTATGAAATCTGTGGTTTATGTGAAGTTGACGCAAACAAAAGAAAAGCTTAAAGAGGGAAAGTTAAAAACAACACTGATTCATATTTGGGTAATTAAATGAAGTTAGGGCCGTCCTCCAAAATGTCCGCAAATAATCTGTTTTAACCACGTCCATGGGTCTGAACTCTGTTTAAAGAACTTAAAATGTATTTTTTGAGTTCTATTTCCAACCTGAAGCTGGAAACAAATTAGCTTGCATGTGGCAGAACGCTAAGAAAGGCTTAAATCAACCTGCACCTTGTTATTTACACCTCTCATTCCTTAGAAACATAACTGCCGCTTTTATTAACTTTGTTTTATGGATCTAATATTTAAGAACAAGTCTATCTCTTATGTCATAGCAAGAAGGTGACTGTACTTACAGACTCCCCTGCAGCGCATCTTGGACAAGGCTGGGCCGAGCTCCGTCTGCCGTTCTGAGGACTCTGTTCGACAAATCACAGCCACAGATGAATCAGAACAGTGGTTATTCACACTTTCTATTAAACATTTAAAAGGATGCACAGCTGGTTTGGCAGGAGGAGGAACCTACCCCCACATCTAGTCGCCCCTGGCCGCTGTCGGGCCTCAGTCCGGGGAGGTGGCCTCTGGGATGCAGGTCTTGTGACTCAGGGTCCTCACAGTCCCAGGACCCCAGGGCGCGCGCTTTCCCTGGGGGGCAGCCCCGCTCCTGGGCAGCTGCGTCTAATCTCCTGCACGCCCGTTTCTGCAACAAACAAAATTTCACTTGAGATGGCCTCATAAAGCACCCAGCACTCTAACTGAATCTGTTTCCTGAAAAGCTCAGCCGTGAGAACAGGCCTCTGCGGAGCTGGGGAGTTTACAGCACGTTTGAGGAGGTGACTTCAAACTTTATCTTTCAGGAATAACCACCATCAGTTACACTTAACCTCATTATTTCCAGCACTGTCTGATATTTGCTTAGCTTTATAGATTTAAAATAGTCATTTTAAACAATTTTGGCCAAAAGTCTTGTAATAAAGTATTGTGACTGGTTTATTGATACTGAAAAAGTAAGAAGACCTATAAATTTTGTTCAAGAAACTAGTTATATGCTTCAATACATTTTGCCGAGTATTGTTACATACTTTTTAAATATAATATGAATAATTCATGTGTGAATAATTCTTTGTCTTACTGACACTGAAGAGCAAATTAATTTCATTTCAAAAGTTGCACACACAGCCCATAACGGATAACCTCTGGGAAAGTTAGCCCTTGGTTTTTGCTTCCTCGTGAACTGAAGAGGATGAATTACAAAAGCAATCTTCCATCGCTGAAGGAAAGAGACGGTTCACTCTCCAAGTCCTGGGACTTTGTGTACTGTGCGGGTAATAACGTTTTCCCCGACACAGCTGAGAGGCAGGAGGGTCCGCAGGTGCTCAGGGAGTCCATCCTTCTGCCCGGCCAGCAATGGGTCTCTGGCTCCCAGGGCCAGCCCGCAGCCCCGCCGGAGGACAGCCCCGCCCGAGTCACAAACTGCTCCTGATATGCGCGGGCTGCTCCACAGCCTCGGCACCTGCACACCATCGTCATGATTTGTTTATTATGCCAAATCTGTTCGTTATGACCTATTATCTATTTATTATTTTCTAAATTTCTAAATTGACTTTTTTTTTTAAACTTAATTAATTAATTAAAGAAAGAAACCTTGTATTGTGGGTTTAGACTGCTGGTGTTACTCTCCCCTAACATGCCTTAAAACAGATCCTTAAGGATGAAAAGGGAAAACGCTGAACTCTGAGCCCCTGCGCCCACCACCTGGAATAACGTCCTGGGGCGAAGCGCTGACCCTGGGTGGCTGCACAGACCTGCCCTCCTGACAGCCCTCCCCAAGGACAGGAAATCACGGAGGGTCAGAGTTGCCTCTGCGTCACAGCGCACCCTGGGCACGAATGAAGTGGGAGAATGCTGGAATCTGGAAACAAGGCCTGTGAGAGAGAAAAGCCACCAAGCCCGTGCGGGGTCCCCTCGTGCTCGCAGCCCTCACCCCTCACACGGCTGCAGGCCCAGCAGGCAGGAGAAGCTGCGAGCTGGACGGAGCCAGGGCACCTGCGAGGGTGCAAAGGATGTGCACGGCCGGGGGGCGCACCTGACTGGGGACCACGGACTCGGTGGCTGGAGGGCCCACCGTGGACCACGGACCACTGGCCACAGACAAAACAGCCGAGGGAGCCAGAGTGTGGATTCGGGGCTGGGGTTCGGGGTTTCCCGACAGATGCCGTTTAAATAGGAATTCCTTCCCCACAACCACAGCTCCCGGGAAGGAGACAGGCGACAGAGGAAGGGAGAACGTCCGTGGATGATGGCGGTGAAGATAAAAAGGAGAAAGAGAAGACGTGTAGGTCCTGTAAGTAAGGTGCACCCTAGCATCAGGAGACTCTTGCCTCCCCGTCTGTCACCAAAACAGACAGACAGTAGCTGCCCCTGGACTTGCCAAACTGACAGAAGAGGTGTCCTGAGACCAACAATCTTTTAAAAACACTTAATAACATAAAAATTCCTCCTGAATCAAAAGAAAATTGTAATTCAAACACCCTAAAAAATGCAATTAAACATTCAAACAAACATCTGAGGATATAAAAAACCACCTTGAATTAGAAATGTAGAATTCAAAACAGAAAGAAACAGAAAAATGAAGCAAGACGCAAATAAACTCGGGAAAGTACTGGAAGGAACACAATTATCTCAGATGAGGAATAACTTACGAAGCGTGCTAAGGAGAATAAACTCAAATGAAAACCAATAAAGGGCATCGAAGGAAGACAGGGGCACAACCCAAAGATGTAAAGAAAAAGCTGAAAGGGTAAGAAAGGCAGCAGCAGGAGTGGAAGCCAAGGAGCAGCGTTCGTGGCTCAGAGCTCTGATCTAAAGAGGGAGACAAGGTCATGCAGCAAACCTCGCATCTAAAATTACAATCTCAGAAAACCTCCTAGAAACAGAAAAATGACTGAATCTTAAAGGAGAAGGGCTCACAAAGCGCCTGGGAAAATTAACCCAGGGCGATCGACTCTGAGATAAACCCTAACAAAACTATGAGATTTCAAAGACAAAGATAAAACCCTCAAGGCCCCGGGGCCGGGCCGCAGATCAGTGAAGGTGAGGGGGAACTGGAGCGCACCGGGCTTCCCAAAAGCAGCAGGAGAAAGACAGCAGCAGAGCCCCAGATCCTGGCTGCTTGGCTGGCCGTTCGGTTCCTGAGCAGAGGGTGGTGCTTTACAAAACAGACAGTCCACCACCCAACTTAATCGAGAAAAAAAGGGGAGAGAGCACAATACAGAACATAACACTCGGGAAATAAACAATAAAAGAGAAGAAATTTAAAAAATCATTAGAGACTACTTTGCAGACTTCTATGCAAATGAATTAGAAAACGCAGCTGAAATGGGTAACTTTCTAAGAAAATTCAAATGACGAAAACTGACCCCATCAGAGTTAGGAAGCTTAAAGGACTGACTGCCATAGGAGGAACAGGAAGGGTTACGAGCAAGTACCCCACAAGCAGCAGCAGGACCAGCCGGTTCCTCAGGGGAACTCCACCACACCTTCACAGATGAGGTCTTTCCAGTGCACCACACAGAAGCTCCTGCAGAGAGACGAGAGGGGAGGAAACTTCCCAGCTCCTTTCCTGAAGCACGTATAACACTGACAAGCCAGCTAAAGAGAGCAAAGAAAGAAAACTGCAGGCCAGCATCACTCATAGATATCAGTGCAAAAAATCAAATAAAATATTAACAAACAGAATCCAGCACCATGTTAAGAAATCAGATACCATGACCAAGTAGGATTTTTTTCAAGAAATGAAAGCTGGGTTCAATATTAGCAAATCCATTAATATCACTCCCACTGTAATAAACTAAGGGAAAATAATATGATTATCCCCATGGATGCTGAAAAATCCTCTGACAAAATTAAAAACCCACTTATAAAAGCTAAAGAAAATAGGAATTGAGTGTTACAGTCTTAACATGATAAAATACATATACCTTAATCCAAAAGCCAGTATCTTATTTATTGGGGAAGGACTAGCAGCATATCCACTAAGACCAGGAACAGGCAGGCATACCCAGTCTCCACATCTGTTCACCATCGTCCTGGAGGTATTACGTCACCAATAGAATTACAAAAGATACATCCATCAGAAGCATAAGAATGGATACAGAAGTACAGTTACCTCTACTTGTAGATGACGTCATAGTGTGTACCTGGAAACCCCCAGAGAATCAATGATGAAACCAACTCAATAAAATAATCCACTGAATAAGAAACAAAATTAACATACAAAAATCAATAGCCTTCAAATACAAAACAATGAGTAACTAGAGAAAACCCCATTTAAAATAATTGCAACAAAGAAGATTAAATGTTTAGGAATAACTTTAATAAGAATTTGGCAAAACCCATACAAGGAAAATTTAAAACATTCTGGAATAACATAAAAGTAGATATCAACAAATAGAGAGGCACCCCCTATTCTTGGATAGGATAACTCAACCCTATAAAGATGACAGTTCTCCCTAATTTAATTTACAAATTCAATGAAAAACCAGCAAACAGCAATAAACTACTATATAGACTTACACAACTTGATACTAAAGGTCACATGAGAAAAAAAAAAAACATGCAAGAATAGCCAGAAAAACCTGGGGGTGGGGAGAAATGCTGGACATTAAAACATACTATAAAGACTGTAATTAAACAGGGTGCTGGACAGCTACATTCAAAATAATGAAATTAGAACATTCCTTCACACCATACACAAAAATAAACTCAAAATGGTTTAAAGACCTAAATGTAAGACAGGACACCATAAAACTAGAAGAGAATGTAGGCAAAACATTCTTTGACATAAACCGCAGCAACATTTTCTCAGATCAGTCTCAAGGCAGAAGAAATCAAAGCAAAAGTAAACAAATAGAACCTAATCAAACTTAAAAGTTTTGGTTATGAAAAAAGTTTTTGTTTGTTTTGAAATCATCAACAAAACGAAAAGACAACCTACAGAGTGGGAGAAAATATTTGCAAATGATGTGACCAATAGGGGGTTAATATCCAAAATGAACAAACAGCTCATACAACTGAAAAAATAACCCAATCAAAAAATGGGCAGAAGACCTAAACAGATATTTTTCCAAAGGAGATATCCAGATGGCCAACAGGCATGTGAAAAGCCACTCAATACTGCTAATTATTAGAAAAATGCAGATCAAAACCTCACACCAGTCAGAATGGCCATCATCAAAAAGTCTACAAATAATAAACGAAGAGGGTGTGGAGAAAAGGGAACCCTTGTCTACTGCTAGTGGGAATGTACACTGGTGCAGCCACTCTGGAAATCAATATGAAGACTCCTTAAAAAGATAAAAATAGAACTGCCATATGATCCAGCAATCCCATTCCTGAGTATATATTCAGAAAAAAACAAAAACTCTAATGTGAAAAGATACATGCACCCCAATGTCCACAGCAGCACTGTTTACAGTAGCTGAAATATGGGAAGCAACCCAAGTGCCCATCAACAGACAACTGCCTCAAGGAGGGTGGTGTGTAAACACACATATACACACATAACGGAATACTGTTCAGCCACAAAAAAGAATGAAATACTACCATTTGCAGCAACATGGATGAACCTAGACAATAGTATGCTTAGTGAAACAAGTCAGACAGAGACAAATACTATATAAGGTATAACCTGTATGTGGA